TTGCAGTGCAGGGACATTATGAATGCTGCTGCTGTGAGCATTCTGGTACACATCTTTTTGTGGGCATATATTTTCATTTCTCTTCAGTAAATACCTAGGAGCGGGATTTCTGAGTCATAGTGTAGGTGACATGAACCAGCCAGCGTGTAGTTAGATGTATATTTTTGTTGTGTTTGTTCTAAGTGTAATATAAAAAGGCCACTCATTGCCACAGTTAGGACACGCCTTAAAGTTGGAGGGTTCCAGAGGTGAAGCCTGTCATTTGCAGAGTGCACCAGGCACCCTTTCCAAATTGGCCTCACATCCGAATTAGCATTTTTTAACTTTGATCCATATGTGTCACTGCCCCTTTTATCCACTGAAAGGGCAAAGGTGAGACTTTGAACTAAAAAAAAAAAAAAAAATTCCCGAGGCAGGTGTGCAAACCAAATTGCAGCTGCCCCTGTGGTTTGGTCTTCAGGTTTCTAGAAGGCGAACACAGAGCATGAGAGCCGGCTCTCGCAGGGCAGTGGCTCAATGAAGGTGTGTCCCGCGCGGCTGGGCGGGCGGGCGGCGCTTCTGGGGCTCTGCACCGCGTGGCCTGTAATTAAAGTTTCACAAGAGAGCGGTTATTTATCACTGGAACCTGGCAGTCAGGTCGTAGCGGGTTTGGTGTTTTGTTTTTTTTTTCTTCCTTCCCTTTATGGGTGTGGAAAGCAATTAAGAGGAGAAAGTGAGTGAGAAAGCTGAGGTAATGCCAACAAAGTTAACGTTAGGTGAACGGATTCCTGGGTCCTTGCTCTTTCTGAGGAAGGAGTCCCTCACACGGCTTTGACGTGGGAAAGAAAACCTGTGACATCTACAGGTCTATAAATCTCAAGAGAACATCTCTCGCATTGGCAGCCATGAAAAAGTGTCTATTCTTTTATTCATTTAATATTAATTTCAAAACCGAAGTCCTCAGAAAGCCTTCCCTCCCCCCTCGAGTCTCCTCAGTGTTAACCTCTCAGCACAGTGTGAGGTGCTGGGAGTGGGAAGTAATTGACTCAACAAAAGGAAGGTGAATTCAGCCTTCCATGTGGGAGGTGGATTCGACTCTGCTCCCCATATGTGTGTGTGTGTGTGTATTTTTTTTCCATGAAAAGTTGTCACGATGACATAGGTGCTTGTTTGCCTGTCTGCAGGGTGTGTGGCTTGGGCAGCTACAGCAGACTGAGCCCCAGCCCCTCCCTCACAGGGCACCTGCCAGGGCCCTCAGGTGTCAAGGTGTCTGACAGGGAGGGGCTCTCTTCAAGAAAAGCAATGTCAGGCCGGGCGTGGTGGCTCATGTCTGTAATCCGAGGCGGGCAGATCGTTTGAGCTCGGGAGTTCGAGGCCAGCCTGAACAAGAGCAACACCCCATCTCTACAAAAAATAGAAAGAAATTAGCTGGACAACTAAAAATATATAGAAAAAATCAGCCGGGCATGGTGGTGCATGCCTGTAGTCCCAGCTACTCGGGAGGCTGAGGCAGGAGGATCGCTTGAGCCCAGGAGTTTGAAGCACAATACTGGGCATCTCCCTCAGAACCGGAATGACTCCCTCAGTGCACAGGCCTGGACAGTGGCTAAGGAGCGGGTCCGTGAGGCTACCAGCTGTAGGTGTCAGTAAAGGCTTCAATGCCTTACTGTGCTGGGGTGGCAGGGGAATGTGTGGGTTTGTTTTTCTTTCTTACAGCAGTATTAGATATAATTCACACACCATACAGTTCACCTCTTTAAAGCCTCTTGTACAATTCAGTGGTTTTTAACATTGACAACATTACACGGCCATTGCTACAATCAATGTCAGAACATCGTCGTCATCCCAAACGAAGCCCCCAGACCCTCCAGCCGTCACCCCTAACCTCTTGCCGCCTAAGCTGTAGGCAACCTGCTTCCTGTCTCTGTGCATTTGCCTATTCTGGACGTTTCGCATCAGTGGAATCATTCCATATATGGTCTTTTGTGTCTGGCTTTTAAAACTTAGCATAATATTTTGAAGGTCCGTCCATGTCGTAACATATATTAAATAGTTTTATGATGTTTTTTTTAAATCATTTTTCGCTTGTTAAAATAATACAAACTGAAATATGACCTTGACATTTTACCCAAGACATTGCAGCATCTGCTCTCTTTCTGTGTATTGGTCTTGGATTTTTGATTATCACTTCACGATTTGGAACATGACAATCCATGCACGGTTTAGCTCATGCTCTGTGGCCACTGTTTAAGAAGCTTGTGTTTCAAAGTGCATCCAAGTACTATCTGGGTGTGTGTGGACCTGGAGCCATCTGAGGACGGGGAGAGACACCACTGCAGAAGTTCCATAGCACCAGCTAAAATTTAACAAATATGTGACACTGAACGTGCTTTGCACCACCTGGTAAATCCATGTGGCAGCGTAAACCTGAAGCACAGGCAACTTTCCATGTGTCTCTGTCACCTTGCAAACCATGTCATTTCAGCGAGGGGAACTGAAGAGTTCCCTAACGAGAAGGGATGCAGAGTCAATCCAGGATTACGTATTTGGAATTCGATGGGTAGAAATAGCAACAAATGCAGCCCCGGGCTGCACAGGCTGCCCCCTCATTTCCATAGTTTCCTGTGATTTACTTTCCTCTTAGGGAAAGGATTAAATGCACAGAACAGCTGAAATGCCCATCTGTTGGTGGTTAGATGGATTTAGTCGAGGACTGCTGTGCTGCTTAATTACCTTAACAAGCAGGAACATCTTTCCCAGTGCCCAGCTGAGCTCCAAACGCCCGTGTGCAAGTGCAGCCAAGGCAGGAGAGCCCTGGTTTTCCAGTGGTGTCGGCGCCGGAAGGAGCTATCCAGGCCATTGCCGGGTGTCCCTCCCTCTTTTCACAGACGTGGCACGGAACCAGGGCGTGGAGAGTCTGAACACCCGCCCCAGGTGTCACAGCTAGCTCCTGGGGTGCAGGATTCACTGGGGCGGGGCTAGAACCACTTCCCTTGGAATGTTCCAGCCACTGGTCAGAGGAAAACAGTAGCAGAGTCTACACCAGCGCACATCTGTTCAGCTCATAAGAATTCCTAGGGAGATTTGGAAGGCAGGAGAGTAGGCAATGAAGGCGGCTAGAGTTTTACCAGGCCCTCGAGTGAAAGCATCTTTTCTCTTGCTTCTGCTGGACTCAGACCAGCAACCCGTTGGCTCCGAGGCCCTTCCTGCTCTCCAGGATCGTTCTTGGGGCTCACACCCCTCCCCACCCTCTCCCATCCCTACCTGAGAGGCCTTCACAGCGTCATAGCTGGTGCCATGGGCCGGAGTGGGACCCAAGTGCAGTTCCACGGAGGCCCCTCAAGTCAAGCCTCTGTTCTTATAAAATGCAAAGGGTGTCCCAGTGTCTCTGCGGGAGATGTGGTAGATTCTTCTAGCTAGATAAGCAAGTTGTGGGCTCATCTTTTCCTGTTATCTCAGAAAGGACTCCTGGTGTCTGGCCCATGCTGGGCCTTCCTAACTGCTTTCCGTCCCTGGTGGGGCAGCCGGCAGGGCTCCTTTGTGAACTCCATCCCTCCGGACAGAATGTGTTTTGGGTGATCTCCTCCTTCCAGCTGACCTGCCCCCTCCCCTCATGCAGCTGTGAACACACAGCTTCCTGCTGCCACGCAACGTTACCCCAAGACTGGAAGGACCACCGCTGTAGAAACACAAGTGCTGTAGCCCAGCCCTGGTGAATCCCTGAGCCTGGAATTAGGTGGCCATGAAAACAGTGGTCATTCAGACTGTCCCAGACCAAAACGGAGCCACAGCCTGTTTAATTAGCACTTTGATTTACAGTAACACGCACTGGCAAACCCCCGGCATTGCATGTTTTTATAACCAATACAGTTAGACTAGTAGGTGAGCTCAAAGCATTGGCCTCACCTTTAATTTATTCTCTCCCAAGCCAGAGAGAATGAGCAGCTGCGGGGGGACTGTTGTAACCACACCTGCAGTTTGGTCTCCTAGCACTGCCTCTGTGGCTCACCCCGTCACTGAAGAGAGGCCAGTGAGGCCAGAGCCTCTGGCCATGTGGAGGTCAGGGAATGGGGGACCGTGCAGAGAGGCCGCCAGTCCAGTGAGGATGGAGCTGGGGTTTTGCCCACGCAGCAGCTGTCTCTGAGACTTGACAGACAGGTGGAGGTTTGGGGAGACCACCACCCCAAAACATATTTTATCTAATTTTTAAAAGACTGAAGCATAGTCAGGAGCAGGCCAGACAGCTGAGCGAGTGGCGGGTCAGGTTCCATGCCGGGCCTTCTACTCCATGCTGGGAGCAGTCACAGGGACACAGCCCTGCAGCTGGGGACTCCACACAGAAGGACATGGGGGTGGGGAGTGAGGATGTAGCAGACTCTGTTGCCTAGAAGATGACTTGAGGGCTTTACTGTTCTGGCAGCTGCCACACGCCCCACTTGCAGGGTGCTGTGTGCAGGGTCGTGGGGCCAAAGGTCTCACAGTGTCGGCTGACGAGCCCTCCCTCCACTCTTCTCTCCAGGGTCCAGCCTGGAAGTAAATACACGCCTCCACTCCTCTCGCCGCCAGGAAAGGGGCCCCCAGCTCCGTACCAGAAGAGCTAGGACGAGACTGCCTATAAAGACAGAGCCTCTCCTGCAAGGACTGGGCTGGGCCTCGCTCTCCTTGCCCCTCCAGGGCCGAGTGGGCTCTTTGGCTCTCATGGGTCTTCTAAGCTGGGGCTGCTCAGGAGGTGTGGGGCAGGGCCTGGGGACAGCGCTCAGAGCTCCAGTGGACTGACGGCACGGTGCCATTAGGGGGATAATAAGATCTTCCTCTTCCCACCCATAGCGAGGCCCCGTTGCGGTGTGGTGAATGCCATTGACAGTGCAGTGTGTGTGCCCGGCAGGCACGTTTGATTGTGACGTTTGGCTTCCACTCTAGCTAGTTCAAGGAGAAAGGAATGCTGGATGTCATGGCGTGTGCCTGTAGTCCCAGCAACTTGGGAGGCCAAGGCGAGAGGATCCCTTGAGTCCAGGAGTTTGAGGCCAGCCTGGGCAACATAGCATGACGTTGTCTTAAAAAAAAAAGAAGAAGAAGAAGAAAGGGATTTATCACAGAGTGTTTACTAAATACCTTGTTAGAATCACTGGGGAGGCTGAAGGACCAGTCTGAGTCAGGATACCCCGGCCACACTTCAGAGCCGGGCCACCAGGGAGGCCGCTGCCTCGCCTCTTCTGGGATCAGGACTCCGGCTTCTGACCGGGAGCTGGCACTGGCTGCGGCTCCTACCATGCCGTGGTCAGGAAACCAGCATGGTCAGGGACCTGCTACCGGCTCCAGATCCACTCTTCCTTGCTGTGGTCTACATCCGCAAAACGGGCTCCCAGGGGCTAGTGACTGGACTCGAGGACGCCTGCCCCAGCCCCTCTTGGCAGCAGGAACAACAGAAGTGCATTCCCCAGTTCAATTCTGCCTTCCTGTACCAGAGCACCTGACCACAGGAAGAACTGGAATTGAACTTGGAGTCCTAGCTGCAGAGGCGTCGGCGCAGTGTCACTGTTAGCTTTCCGGCCTCTAGCACAGCGGGCGTCCCAGAAGGAGGCTGGATATCCAAACTGTAGTGTGTGGTGAAGGTGAGTCCCGGGAGAGGATGAGCCTGCAGAAATGGCGCTACGGGCCGAACCAGGAATGGGCGTTGGCCAGGCAGGGTGGATCCGATCTGCAAGTCCTTGGACTTTAGCACATAGAAATCACCTGGGAAATGCATCTTGGAGCAGACTCCAGGGCCCTCCCTGCAGGGACTGTGACTCAGTGGGGCTGGAGCAAAGCCCAGACCTGTTGCTGTCTCCCGCCTTGTGCTCTTGATGAAATTTCCAGGGTCCCTTAGGTACGTTCTGTTCTTGCTTTGATCGCCAAGATACACCTAGGAAGCCGCCCCATCAGATATCCTCATCTCAGTTCTGAGAAGGGGAAGGTGAGGCTCAGGGCGTGTGGCCTGGCCACGGGCCCTGCCCACGGCTCTCTGAGGTCCAGGGTGAGCCTCGTCACCTTCTGAGCCTGTCTTTCCCCACCTGCAAGATGGGGTGGTGGGACGCGTTTGCACACTGCTTTGTTGGCAGTGGGACCTTCTTTCAAGAGAAGCGTTGGATGTGTCTACACATGAGACTGACCAAAACGGAGCTGTTGATGTCGCTGCGGGGAGGGACCTTGGTCCCCCGGCCCCCTGCCCCACCCCAGCACTTCATCAGAGCCGGGTTTGAAAATCCAGATGACCGTTAAGCAACAGGATCTCCCTGCTTGGGGCTCACAGGGCTTCAGGCCCCCAATTTATTGGGCAGACAAATGACTTTTTCACCTAGACCAGCTCACATCATTGCACATGTCATGGCTTTCGGCCACAAGGAAGAGCAGGAGGGTCCTGTCTCTGGGGTTCAGGGTGCCTGAGCAGGGAGGTTGAGAAGAAGGGTGGCGCTGGATATTTAGGAAACAGAATAGTTGGCTGGTAGGCCCAGCTGGAGGTGAGCATGTTCGAGGTGGTCCCCATTCTACTGCCTGTTTCCTAAACAAAAAATCTCACATCGTGTTCAACCCAGAGGAGACATTTGTTTTCGGTGAAATGGAGCAGCTCTTAAAAGTAGAAAGGGAAACAGACTATGTTTGAGGGCTGCCACGAGGTGTCCACCCTGCTGGACCCCGGCGGTGAGAGTAGCACCACACACGCCTGGGCACGCATGTCCAGAGGCTGTGGTCCCACATGGCTGGGCTGCCACTTCCCTGCTCCGCACAAGGCACATGGCTAGCAGGCAGGTACTAGAATGGACACGCCCTGGCCCAGCTCAGGGTGACCTTCCCAATTGGGCCAGAGAGCCCGTGTATCCAAGGAGGAAGACTCCAGTGGAGTCATCTTCCAGCCAAGCATCACAAAACCCCGAGCAAGTTTGGTGGAATCCTTCGAGTTAATACTGCCACAGTTTGCCTTTGCGCACCGGGGGAGCAGGGAAGGTGGCACTGAGATCACTCTGAATTGGGACGTGCTGGCTGTTTGCTGCTCTTCACTGTTAACTGACATCAGAGGCATTCCACATGCCTGCTGTAAAATCCTGTGTCCTATAAATGGAGGTGTTCAGACAAAGCCACCAAGTTTAGTTAGGCCATTAAGGAAAACTTTGATGTGTTTGGCTGGCAGTGGGCCATCCATGGGAACAGACTTTAGGATCAGAATCTCCAGTGTCTTCTTTCATGGGCTTCAATTATTGCCTGTGGTCAGCCCGAAGGGACCCAGCGTGGGCCAGCGTACTCTTGTGGAGGGATGAGACTGTTTGGTTCAGAGTTAATGCAGGACACAGAGGAGCAAGGAAGACCAGAGTATTCAGAAAGGGCTCTGAGCAGCCAGTCTTTAAGGATGGGTAGAATTGAGAAATGAAGAGAAAGAAATTCAAGCTTCAAGGGATCATTAATAACAGCTACCATTATGTACATACAAGGGAATGTTACTCTACCTTCAAGAGAAAGGAAACTCTGACACGTGCTGCAACGTGGCCGAACCCTGAAGGCATCATGCTAAGTGAAACAAGCCTGAAACAAAAAGACAAATACATGATTTCACTTACGAGGCAAATTTTTAGAGACAAAAAGTGGAGTGGTGGTTGCCAGGGCCTGGGAGCAGGGAATGGCGAGTTCCTGTTTAATGGGCACAGAGTTTCAGTTTGGGAAGAGAAAAAAAATACTGTGGATGGATGGTGGGGATGATTACACAGCAGCGCGAATGTACTTGATGCCACTAAACTATATACCTAAAAATAATTGAAATAGTAGATTTGTAAATTTTCAGAGCTGGGCGTGGTGTGTGCACCTGCAGTCCTAGCTACTCGGGGGGGGGCTGAGGCAGGAGGATCGCTTGAGCCCAGGAGTTCCAGGCTGCAGTGAGTTATGATCGTGCCTGTGAATAGCCACTGCACTCTGTGAATAACCTGGGCAACATAAGAGACCCTGTCTCTAAAAAAAAAATTTTTTTAATTTAAAAAAAAAGGTAAATTTTCTGTTACATGTATTTTACCATAATTTAAAAAATAAATTTTAAAAAACGTAGCTGACTTTTATCGCGCACTCGCCATATGCCATGCCCAGCATGCAGAGTACTTCTTGCGTAGTTCTCAAAATAGCCATGTGAAGTAGGCACTGTTACTGTTTTTGTTTACAGATGTGGAACTTGAATTTTGCAGTGATTAAGTAAGTCTCCCGAAGCCAGGTGACTAGTGAATGGTCCAGTGTGGATCGAACCCGGATTTGTGTAATTCTGAATCCCACGCCCTTAAACCCTGTGCTGTGTGAACAACAGCCTGAGACACAGGAACAAGGTCACCCCCACCCCAGGCACCGACTTCTGCTGTCCTAAATGTCGCCTCATGCTGCTCATGGTGGCAGCTTGTTTCCATCTACCTCCAAGAGGCCACTGCTGCTTCCTTCAGGCTCCTGGGTTCAGCAGAGCCCTTGTTGCAGCTTTGATCTGACTTCCCCGTCGCTTGGTGGTTTGGGAGTTGCAAGCTGGCTGTAATTGACACGTAATTATTACTCAAGACCCTTATTTTAAGGAGTGACGCGTGTCGCCCCCTCTGTTGCAGACCACGGTGATAGACTACGTGAAGCCCTCAGATCTCAAGAAGGACATGAACGAGACCTTCAAGGAGAAGTTTCCTCACATTAAGTTAACACTCAGCAAAATTAGGAGGTACAGGAGTCATCACCCCCTTGAACTTTCCCTTCAGATCCCTCTTCCAGCTCACATTAAACATGTGATTTGCTCGATGGTTCTTCCTGTTGTTCTGGTCATTGAAACAATATCATATTCAGCAAAAAGAGACTCCTCGATGCTGGCTGGCTTGTGCCCCGGTGTGGTGGGAGGACCGGGGTAGCGGGACAGAAGGCCAAGCCCCGGACACCCATTGACACAGATCTAGGGGGAGGGTCCTTTGGTGAAAGAATCACTTCATGTTGTCTGCAGCTCACTGGTTGCATAAGATGCCCATGGAAAACTCAGAGAGGATGGGCAACACTCAGGTCTCTGCTTTCTCAAATGTAGGCCAAGCAGAAGAGAAAAGAGTTGGTATCACAGGGTGTGAGATGACTCTGCCCAAAGTTATGTGTCCAGAGGTGACAGCCAGCCAAACCCCATCTTTAGCCATGACCACAGCAGCCAAAGCAAAGCCAGGCCTGTATTTCCCCGTAGCTAGATGGATTCGCCATGTGGTGACCCACATCTGCCAGCCAAATAGTCAAGAAAACTGGCAAACATGTACACACATGCACACGCATGTGTATATGCATGTGTAGTAATGGAAGCTAGATACACAGCAGTGTGATACTGGAATATATGCCAACATTTATGTGAATGTGTCTCCTAATACTGATTTGATTCTGGCATGTTCCAAACCAAAGAGTCAAAAACATTGAGAAAAATTAAGCATTCACATTTTGTCCCTTTGCTAGGGGCACTCCTAAGGATGCTGGTTTAAGTTATGCTCTTAGCCTAACCCCTTTTCCTTCCTAGTTAATGAAGTAACAGGTATTTGGTGGGCTCAGGCCAGCTGCCCCATTTATTTCTCTAGTCATTTCTCTGGAATGATCGTAGTTTCCCAAATGTTGTCTCTCCTTTTCATTGGACAGCTTCACTCCTGGTTTCCAAGGAGACTCTGGGACATCCACGGTGTTCAGTGGGGTCCTTCTGTGTCTTATGTCATGGTCATTAGAGCTCTGGCTGGTCACTCTCCCCAGCTAGGCTGCTGTCCCTGTCCCCTGTCTGTCACCATCCTGGCAGTGGTAGTAGCACAGCACTGCCAGGCCTGGGGCGAGAATAAAAGTAAAATAGCATGTTGGTCTGTGCAACTCGACCAACAGAGAAGAGTCCAGAGCCCCAGCTCTGTGAGTCTCCTCCCCACACACCGTGTCACTGTCACTTCTAAGATATGGTCCCAGTCCAGGTCACCCTCTGGGAATGGGAAGGAGAAAGCGGTTTTGAGAGGGAGTAATCTCTGTTGGGTCCCCTGGAGCTTCCAGGTTGTAACAAGACTCTCCCGCCTTCCCGTCTCTCTCCAGTCTGAAACGGGAGATGCGGAAGCTGGCTCAGGAGGACTGTGGCCTGGAGGAGCCCACGGTGGCCATGGCCTTTGTCTACTTCGAGAAGCTCGCCCTCAAGGGGAAGCTCAGCAAGCAGAACCGGAAGCTCTGCGCTGGCGCGTGTGTGCTGTTAGCAGCCAAAATCGGAAGCGACCTCAAAAAGCACGAAGTCAAGCATCTAATTGACGTAAGTGGCCTGTACCCTGACGGCGGGGGCAGCGCAGACTGCACACACCCCCGGCCAGGGCTCCTCTCTCAGAAGGTCCCGGCCGGCGGCCCTGCCTGGAAGGTTCTGGTCCTCAGCGGGCAGCAGAGATGAGGGCTGTGAAGCCGTCCCTCCTGCAGGGACGTCAGACGGCCCATCTCAGCTGTCTTACGACAAAGGGAGGACTAGATCAATGATCCCCAGCGTCGGGTCTGGCCATAAAAATCGACTTTCAGACACATTCGAGGTGAAGTCACTCTCACAGCCATGGAAGCCACGGTAACCTCAAGGGGTGCGTGGGCGGCGTGGCCCCAGAGCATCCAGTGTGGGGCACATTGGTTCAACAAGACCTTGGCTTCCTGCTGCCCTGGTCGGCTCCTCTTCGGGAAAAGGTGTGGGTTTGACAGGCTACTTTGTTACAGTTACCAGGAAGAGAGGGGTATCTTAGCTGGTGCTGCCATAACAAAATACCATAGACTGACCCGGTGCAGTGGCTCATGCCTGTAACTCCAGCACTTTGGGAGGCCAAGGCAGGAGGATTGCTTGAGGCCAGGGAGTTCAAGATTAGCCTGAGCAACATAGTGAGATCTCACCTCTACAAAAAAGAATACAAAACTTAGCTGGGCCTGATGACACATGCTTGCAGTCCCAGCTACTCAGGAAGGCGAGGCAGGACCATCGCTTGAACCCAGGAGTTTGAGGTTGCAGGGAGCTGTAATGACACCACGGCACTCCAGTCCAGGCAACAGTGAGACCCTATCTCAATAAAAAAAAAAAAAATTACTATAGACTTGGTGGCTTAAACAGTAGACATGTATTTCTCATATTAATAGTTTTGAAGGCTGGGAAATCCAAGGTCTGGGTACCAGTTGCTTCCTCTTCCTGGCTTGCAGATGTCTTCTTGCTCTTTCCTTAATTTCAGAGAGAAGCAGGGAGAAAGCTGTCTGGTGTCTTCTAATAAAGGCACTGATCCCTGCACGAAAACTCTATGCCCAGGTCCTTATCTAAACCTAATCACTCCCAAAGGCCCCACCTCCTAGTACCAACACATTGAGGATTTTGCCATGGGGGTGTGAACTTTAGGGGGACGGGAGCATTCAGTGTCTAACAAGGGGCACACATGCGTGGGGGCCACGCAGGGAGGCATTGGGCTTGGTGAGGAAGGAGAGGGGAGAGCCGTGCCTGGCAGCGTTTGTTGAGGTTTTCACAGACAGGAGTGGGCAGGGCAGGGTACACGGGCTTAGGGTTGGCTAATTTGGATAACTTCAGTGGTTTCTGGGGCATAGGGGCTGCCCCTAAAAGGTACCTGCCCTGGGGTGATTGGGCAGGGTAACAGGCCCAGAGTGCGAGAGCCCAGAGAGGAGGAGGGTGTGAGCACTGGATTAGTGGTTTGCATTTGAAAAGTGCACTGGAAGGGGTCGCTATGGAGGCTTTGGCTAACCCTGGGAGGACCAGGTCCCTCCAGAGTCGGCAAAAGCCCAGATCATTTATAATTTTTATTAATATTTATTATCTGAATACTGAAAATAAAAGACATGTTTAATACAGTGCCCTGTATATCTCGCTGCCCAGCCATCTTGAGCAGCAAAGGCAAAAAAGCAGAAAGGGTGCTGTGTAGCACCCCCATGTGAAAAGGAGTATTCTTCGGGTCAGTGCTTTATTGGTATGGAGTCCTCTAGCCTGTACAGTAAATGCATGAACATGGAGGTGATCATTGGGTACTAGGGCCGAGCTGAGAATTGATAGGTATTTGTTGAACTGATGAGTCTTTAGATGTAACAAATATTAATGAAAGTTATTAAGTGATACTTACACGTTTGGCCATAGTTGAGTAATATACCACGAGGCAAAAGCTGGTAGTATTAACGCAGAATATAACAGTAATGGTTTGGGGCCAGACGTGGTGGCTCACGCCTGTAATCCCAGCACTCTGGGAGGGCAAGGTGGGTGGATCGCTCAAAGTCAGGAGTTTGAAACCAGCCTGAGCAAGAGCGAGACCCCATCTCTACCAAAAATAGAAAGAAACCAATTGCCCAACTAAAAATATATAGAAAAAATTAGCCGGGCATGGTGGCGCATGCCTGTAGTCCCAGCTGCTTGGGAGGCTGAGGCAGGAGGATCGCTTGAGCCCAGGAGTTTGAGGTTGTTGTGAGCTAGGCTGACACCATGGCAGTCTAGTCTGAGCAATAGAGTGAGACTCTGTCTCAAAAAAATAAATGAACAAACAGTAATGGTTTGATGAGCCATCTGCAGTAGC